AGCGGAGGTAGAGGGACCGGAGGTTGTCATATCCGTGCATACCCAACCCCGACCTGACTTCCGGACCTCCACCCTCTTCACCTCCGGAGTCATAACCTACCGCTGCTGTTCCGATACTCACCTTCGGTCCTGGCAACACATCTCCTCCTTACCTCTCTGACCCTATCTCCGTCCACTCCGATACTCACCTTGGACCGAACACCACCCCTCTCGCCACCCTCCTACTACTCCACTCCCCCTTCACAACACCTCCACCCTCCCGTCATCCTCCTACGCTTCCCCCGTCCGCTCCGATACTCACCTTCGGACCTGACTACTCTCCTTTCCGCCACTCCTTCTCCCTTACCTTTCCCCTCTCTCCTCCCTCTGTTACTCCTCTGCCACCCTTCTGCCAAGTTACGACCTTCCACCGCTCGTACCTTGCTCCGAGCCTCCGTCATAGTCCCTACCTCGGACTTTGACTCCACCTCGGTCCTAGTCCATTGCATTGGTAACCTCATACTACGTAAACACCATTGCCAATATCCCTCAGACTTTCAACCCTGCCTCCGTAAGCTCTGCAACCCCCGAGCTTCACAGATCGCCTTCGGCACCCTCGCCGCTTGTAATGTATTTCTCGCGTTTTCCCCTCATCCCTATTTGGACTACTGCTTCTTCCTATTCTAGCCAGTTAGTCATCATCCCCACTTCCCCTCATCCTCCTGCCCCTCTGGGCCTCGCCCTCCCTACCTCCTTTCGGACGTATCACAGGTCCTGCCTTATGACCTTCGGTACCGCTCCGCTCCTTCTACCCTTTGTTCCTGTTTGGACATCTTTGTTCCAATTCGGTTACCCTTTGTTTTCCTTGTGCTTTTGCCCCTTCCATTATATATATCGGCGCTTGTACATACTCGTTTTGGTTTAGTCCGAAATCGACCTGAAATGCCCCCTAGAGACTTCCTGCTCACCTACTGTGAAATTAAGGACCAAATGGACAAACAGCAATGGCACAGCACTCCGCTTGAGTCGCTGAGGCCAAGGTCCCTCCACGCTAAGTCTCCGATTCCACTCCGGAGTCGTCTGTTTCCGCCCGGTTCTAACAGAGGTAGTAAAGGATGATGGCCATGGATGGATAGGACAGCGACATTGCAAGCGGGAATCTGCTACAGTCTCCAGAAAATGGAATGTAGCACTCCAACTCACTCCCCAAAGAGCCAGGGAAGAAAGAAAAGGGCGTTAAAGAGCATTGCGGTAGAACAGATTCGTATATTCAATGGGGAGGGGATTTCGGGAAAAATAACTGGTAACTCTTGTTTATCTTCTTTCTGCCATGGTGGATTTCCCTAAAGGTCACAATAGCCCTTTACCAATCATGTGGCCACTCACAACACCCAAGTACATGGACTTCAAAAGTAGTGGGAGGTGTCATATCCCGGAATCCCGACCCCGCACACTCCCACCACATCACACCTTCCTAACAACTTCACCATCCCCTACACCATGCCTCCCCACTCTCCAAATCACCTTCCCTCCTGGCTGTCTCAGCTCCGGTCGGGTTGCGGCACACCGAACCTTGGCTACTCCCATCCCGGAACCTCGGTCCCGAGTCGGAACATTCGGAGACCCCGGATTTGCTCCGATATCCTGACGGACCTCCGACATCCCGTGACATGCCCTTAAACCATTCCCTCGCCCACTTCATTTATTGGAGTCACCCAACATCCTTCGGACACGCAACTCCGCTTTCGGAACTAACCGTATCCTTCGGTGATCTCCTTCACGCTATCACTTATTAGTCATCTTCCATTCTTAGCACGACTACCTTCTTACTACCATTCAGTCGGCTAACCCCCCTTCCCCATTTGTCTTCCCCATTCATTTTCCGGCCTCCAACTCCGCCCTCCTTGGCCCGACACCTCGGTTCCCCGTTTTAGATATCGTTCGGAACCTTTCGGTACCTCTCGGTATCATTCGGTACCTTTCGGTGTTTTCCCCGTTTTGTCATTTCGGGCTTTGACTAAAGTCCTCCCCATCCACTTTTATAAATACACGTAGATTAGAACCTGTAGTTCCTCAGTTCTAATCTCGACTAAAATGCCACCCAAAGTCCCTCTGAGTGATTCCTGTCTCTGTTCTACAAGACACCTCAGACATAAGAAATACAAGGACTAACAGAGACGTAACGGAGGCACAGCGCTCCCTCCGAGTCGCTGAGGCCGCGTCCTTCTTAGAGCCTCTTGTACCATCCAGCAGAACCGGGCTCCCTGAGAAGCTTCGGTTCATCACCGGAGCCCTCGGACCCCCCTCTAGTTGAGCCCCCGCCTGCATTCGGACTCACACATTCACCCCTTCTTCCATAACCGACGGGTTTTTGACAGGAGGGGGGAAATCTCTGTTTCAGTATCAATCGCTATGTACATATACTCATACTGCAAATATACAAAAAGTGGAAAAGACTCCAAAATATATGGTTTGGCTAAGCCAAGCCTTCACCAATAATGGCAATAAGGCTCAGTTCCATTTGTCAGGGCATGGATGGTTATCTGGCCAGCCTGGACCCCTATCCAGATAGGTTGAGTACCCGTAAGCCAATATCTGTGTGTGATTTGCCATAGTTAGAATGCAGGTTGTATTCAATGCACTATTTCCGCTATCACGTTGTTGTGGGGACAACTCCGTGTACCGCAAAAAGTCGGATTCTGCGGAATTTGGTCACCAACACGCAGTACATATCCGCTGACGCTCACGATACTCATTCTATCACTATCCAACACTCCTTACACTCATTCCATATTTTTCCATATTTTCCCCATCATTCCCGACAACCCCAAGCAAAATTCCCACACCCAACCACGCCGCCAATTTCACCCCCTCTCCACATCTCAAGAACCACTGCACCAATTGGGACGAATAAGGGCTCGTTGGAAAGCTGGAGACGAGGAGGTTTCTGACGGGAGGATAGGCGGGTGCTGTGGCGAACTGTTGCGGAGTTAATCTTCACAATTCCCATTTCGGACCCGTTGTCACATTTTCCCCATTCACTCATATTTCTTTTATTGTTTCTTTGTTCCCAATTGGATATTCATCATTTACGGTTGCCTAACGGCCCGTTTACATTCCCCCAGTCCATTCATTTCATTCCCAACATATATAAACTAGATAACAGCTTGTACATAACAAGTTAGTATTGAATAGACCCGTGAAGGGACAAGCAGAAGTTGCATCCAAGTGGCAAAGACACCATCCACGACCCTAACGCCCCCTCTGAGCTAGTTGCTCACGTCTAAGACCCCTCACATCATAATACTCAGCCTTGACATCCAAGAGAGACGTAGGTGAGTGTTTGTTTGAGGTTTTTGCAGACTCAGTAGCACCCACGGACCAAAACCCGGCCCAACGAACCACACCCGCGCACACTACCACCCTCCCCCTTCTCTCTGTCTCGTAGTCTAGGCGATAGACCCGTTACAACGTCACCCCTTACCCACTATTGCCCCCTTTTCCACATGATCTATTCTCCTATCTCATGTCGCTTCTCTATCAGCTACCATGTATTCCCAATGTAGCTGCACTCTTATGAGTTGTGGAACTCATGTATATAAGGCCTTATCGCCAGCTGGGTTGGCTCCCCAGCTTTAACAACAACTAGTTTCCCAGGGAGATCCTTACACATGAACTGACATGCAGACTCTGACACCGTTGGCTTTGAATAAATTCCCATACAACAAAAGAAGAATGAAATGTTAAACACCAACTTCCCTATACCACTCCCAATATCGCGTCAAAACTCCGTCCCTTTATTCCATTCGACTCTCCTCATTCATAGCTTTCTAACGATACCGATTTTGTGAAATTTGGTGGAGATTTGACTGAGAACGGGAATTCTCAGAAGCAGAATACATATCTTGATTATCTGTGCTCAGGGAAACTTGGACCAAATAATATGCCATAATTTCGAGACTCCTCCAATGACTTCTTTAGCATTTATATCATTTAACTAGCCCATATTCTCTTGGAATTTTATTGAGACTAGCTTGTGTCAGGGACGCGTCCGGGGTCGAGAGGGCCCGGGGGTAATGCCCGGCACTGAGGCCGTCGTGGGGTGTGGAGCGGGCGTGCGTACTGGCGGGCCCGATCCGGGACAGTGGTCCCTGGCCACTCAGACTGAAGTGGAGAATGTGAGAAGAAGGTTACTTCTTCGGTTCCCACTTCAGGTACATTTATGTACATGCGGCTTGAGTCACATGACAGGTGCCACGTCATCCTCGGAGGCAGCCGCAGGCATCCGGGTGTCCCTGTGGGGGATCCCGAGAGCGTCCGCTACATGCGCGCGTGCTGGGCACAGCGGGAGGCCGTCCGGGGTGTGTGGGCCGGACGGGTCAATAGTACATCAATACAAGGGAAGGTGGTCCGTGTAGATAGAAAGAAATAAACAGGAAGAGGAACATGAGAAGAATGAAATAAAGAAAGGGGAAAGAAAAGGGAAAAGAGGGGGGAGGAGAGGGAGGAAGGAGGGGGGAGGGGGATAGACAGCGGGGAGCGGGTGTGGTGTGGCCGGGTGGGCCCGGGTGGGCCCGGGTCAGGCGGGTGTGCCCTGACAGCTTGCATGTGAGCATCCGAATAGTTCATATCGTCCCGTGACTCCCATCATGCCCGATAATCAGAATATCTCCACAACCACTGAACTGATTAGGATGAAATTCAACACTGAGTCTTTGGGCATTTAATGACCCCAAGATCATCCTCTTCCATCAACTTTTGACCTTGTTCCCATGGTCATGGTCAAGTGCACAGACTTCACACATGAGGACATCTCAGGTTGAATTTCCCCACCAAATCCCAACCAATTCCTTCATGAAAAGGCTCTTTCGGTTTGTACGAAAACCCTCTTTCTTCTTTCTTATTACCCCCCCCCCCCCCCTATAATTCCTTTTTCCTAATAATGTACAAGGGCAGGAGCCCAATTTTGATGTATTTGCTGTGTAAGGTTCCATGAAATTAAGCACTCCTGTTATGCACTCCTACAACATGCACCTTGGGACATATGCTGCAAGAGTCTCAACTATGAGGGCTTCAGACATTGTAACTTGGTCAACATCTCTTGGATAGATCTGACACGTCTGAGACACGTTGCCAGGCCCTTGCAGGTCCAGATCACCACTATCACTTGAAGTGGTGTCATCTTCCACCCTACAGCCAGTGGAGGGACCAGCCATGTTTGTCATATCTGTTAGGTACGGGTCAGCAAATGGGGACGACTGGCAGGGACAAGGCTCCGGGGTTGGGCTTCGGCCTCAGCGACTCCAAGAGAGCGCTGTGCCCACCTACTGTCTCAGTGCCCACATTTCGAAGTGGCTTGGGCTGCCTTGTTAGGGGGGACAAACCATGTCGATATTCAGACTAAAGTTATAATAATGTAATATACATATATATATAGTAAGAAACTGAATGAGTCAGGTGACAAAATGAAACAAAAGGAAACAGAATAAGGGCCGGCATCTGGGTCAGAATGCATGGTCGTGACAATATCCTGGAATCCCAGCCCCATACTCTCCCACCTCATTACACCTTCCTAACAACCTCATCATCCCCTACACCATACCTCCCCACTTCCCAATGTCACCTTCCATCCCAACTGTCTCAGCTCCAGCCTGGATTTCAGCACACTCACCCTTGACCACTCCCATCCTGGAAGCTCGGTCCTGAGTCGGAACATTCAGAGTCTCCGGATTTGCTCCAACCTCCTGACGGATCTCCAACATCTTGTGACATACCTCTAAACCATTCCCCCCCATTTCATTTAGTGGAGTCACCCAACATCCTTCAGATGTGTAACTCCAGCTTTGGAGCTACCCGCATCCTCCGGTGATCCTGCTCATGTCATCATAAATTAGTCACCTCCCATTTGTAGTATGACTGTTGTCTTCTTTCCATTCAGTCGGCTAACTTCCCCTTACCCATTTCTCATTCCCATTTATCCTCCAGCCTTCTACTCTGCCCTCCTCAACCCAACACCTCAGTTCCCCATTAAAGATATTGTTCGGGACCTTTCAGTGTTTGTCAGTATCACTCGGACTTTGACTAAAGTCCTTCTCCTCCCTCTATATATACTTGTAGATTATAACCCATTGTACTGTCATATCCATACAATCCTGACCTCCGCTCCGGGCTCCTGGAACTCCGAACTCCGACTTCCGGTGTAGGAGAAATAACGGCCACACTATGGAAACCCATTATGGAAATATGCCAGATAAATCACAAAACCTCATACGACAAGTAGATATGAGAACATAGAAGGACCTGAATTTTAACAAATTTTACGAATTTTTACGAATTATTATGACTATACACGATAAATCGAAAGAAAGAAAAATAACAAAAATACTTCAAGCTTACCATCAACGAGACGGAATTCTCGGGGGAATTTATAGCAAATATTAAACCAAGAATTAGGACAATCGACCAAGATTTGACTATAAAAATAATCAGAGAACCTCCACGGAAACTACTTTCCCACGTCCACACACGTAGCAAGGATGGAAGTACCACGGAACAAAGATTCCTCAGGAACTAATGCAAAAGTCAAAGTCGTGTTTATAATAGGAAATGTAGATGTCCCCCAAACGGAACCAATGAGAGTAATTACAGGGGAAACTACCCATAAACGACGGAGATATGACTAAAACTCCTGCAAAACAAGGACAATGTCTAAAAAGCAAGCGCGAAGATTAACTAGTAACGACCGAGACAAGCTTGATAGCCCATTAGAAAGGAAGGGATCTACTCTTAATCCTCCCAAATTTCCATAATAAAAGGATCATGCATTAATGAGAAATCCAATAACGGGAATAGCGACATCAAAAGTCCAAGCTCAGGGACAAGACGATGATTGCGTAGGATCCATAATTAAAACATACAACGAAATTTACACGGAAATTATGAAAAATAGGAAACTATAGCTATGCAAATTCTCAGCCCAAACGGTCCAGCCGTTGTGAAGTTATACCCATGACGGGAATATAGGAATCCGCATCATGTGTAATGACACGTGAGGGTGGCGATGTGCAGGGAACCGGCCGTCGGAACCGAGATCCGCACTTCGGCAGATCGCGAAGACCAATTTCCGTCCAAATAAGGAAGAGCCTGGTCAAAACAAAGCACGAAAAGTGCAAAACAACCTTAGATCATGAGGGAAAAATCTGAAATAAATCACAGAAGCCCATATGAAAGAAATAAACACCTGCACATATCATAAATCCCGAACAACTAAACGAAAACAGCTCCCGCATACGAACAACTATGGGAACGACGCACGTGATTACCGAATGTGCGCGCGAAACTTTGCTAACTCAACGAATACAGGGAAATAGGACACAACCTTAGTACCATTGGAAAGGTGGGAATAAATGAAAATTTATGATACCAAGAACGTAAGAAAACATCCAGAAATGAATGAGATACAAGGACATGAAGTTAGAAACCTGAAAACACGCAGGAAGACAGCTTCAAGAGGTCTAGAGCCCTAAATAAAATACATAAAAATATGATATCTTCGAGGACGACCTACTATAACAACGAACAATACATATGGAGGATTAGGATGTGATAATACAAAGGGGAATCAGGGAATATGAACGAAATTCACGAAAACTACTAAACTACGACGGACCATGGCGGGAATTTTAGGGAACGATGTTCTAATGAAGTAGAGAGCTATAACACATTCGTTTGAGTAATTCTTGATTACTAGCAACTTTTTCTTTCAGTTTTAAACCTGAATAATTCACTCATTTATCATTTCAGTCTCATTTTAACTAAATGTCACTAAATAAAATTGGAATAAATCAGCTGAAGGTCTCAGCACAGTCGCACACATAGTAATGCGAGGTTTGAATTCAGTATGACCGAGTCATAGCGAACTTAATGGGAAATATGGGGAATTTGAAATAGGGAACTGCGGCAAATGCGGCGCAGACAAATTCTAATTAACCATTAAAATAGCTTAGGCGAGGAAGGACAATAAGGATTCCAGGCGCAGTCTGACCGCAGTAGAGCCGCAGTTCAGCGCAGCAAAGCGCAGTGGAACTATAGCGTGAAAATTTCACTTTTTATTCAGTTTGAGAAAAATACACTGTAAATAAATCCTGTAAATAGAAGGTAGAGCGTGAAAAAGGAAGGCGACCCAAGGAGTATAAAAGGGAGACCCTTTCTGTGACTTTTCGCCCCCCTTAGAGAAGTAAGAAAATAGAGTATTATTTTTCTCAAGCATTTCTGGTTGTCACTCCAGTGCGAAAAAGTGATATACAGTTAAGATTGCCACTGTAGTAAAAGGCAGCAATTAAGGAGAGAAATATTAAGTAGATATTTCAACAGGAGAGCTGGTTAACACTCCAGATTTCAAAGTGTAAACACAAAACAGTTATTTTGCTACTGTTAAAACAAGCGATAAAATAAAGACAAAAATTAAACGAACTCAAGGGACACTCCAGACACCATCCAAATTCATTAACTGAATAGAATCTTTGAAACTTCACCAAGTAGAAGATTAAATTCAAGTTTAAATCCAAATTAAACAACGCTACACAGAATTACACCTAGACAAATTAATAAATTTCAATAAAGAAACAGCTCCGCAGGGCTCGGTTTATCTGTAAGTCAATTCCCAGGAACTTTAAAACTAACCCATAAAAATAGAATTAGCCAAAACACTCGGATTGGTACTTTATTTACAATAAATAACACTAGTACACTTCCCCATCCTAACTAAAGAACCAGGGAACAGCTTGGTGGTGGTCTCGTTTGAACCTCCCAACTGACCTTCCTTCGTTCTCTCCTTCACCGGAGTCCTACTTCCCTTCCGTCACCTCCTCCTTGCCGACTCCCAAGAGGTTATCCCACCTCCGGCTCGGACACCACCTTCGGTCCGACTCCAGAACATTCCGGGTCCGACCCCAACCTCGACACCTTCCAGACGAGTACGCAAAACCTATACTCCCGACTCCGGACCTCCGCTCCGGTATCCCGTTCACGTCTCGTCTCCGGAACCTCCGGTCTTAGCTCCGACCTCGGACTTTGACCCCACCTCCGCTTATACCCATTGTATTGGTTAGCTCATTCCATTTAATTATGTTTGCCAATATTCCGGAGTTTAACCTCCGAGTTCGGACTTTCCGGACTTACTCCGGACCTTGCAACTATTGCATTGTCCATTTCAATTCCGCTATTCTCCCTCATTCCTATTTGGGCTGCTGCTTCCTTTCTATTCAGTCAGCTAGCCATTCCCCACTCCCAACCTCCTTCCTTCCTCCTTGGGCCTTGGCCCTTCATTCCCCTTTGGGAAACACCATTGAGTCAAACACTTGACCCTCGGTGTTGTTCCTCTTTCCATCTCCCTTTGTCTCCTTTCATCCTACCCTTGTTCCTTTTGATTCCGGACCCCTCCTTATATACAATGTACCTACAGTCGTGGACAGGCAAATACATTAAAGTTTCCAGACTGGAATTTTTCATCACAATAAGCTCAATTTTGAGGGAAACAAATTCTTATTGGGTGTAGCTACCCAAAAACGGTGTTTTTAGATTTTTCTCTCTTTTTTTTAGCCCCGGACAATTTTTTGAGCAAAAATTTTCACATGTTATGAGTATTTGAGTGACTTCGCAAGAGTATATCAACATTTAGAAGGCTCAGGTGAATTTAAGTTGAGAATGGCCTCCATTGCAGCCATTGCTGCTCCAGATGCAGTGCGATGGCCCTTCTGTTTTTTTACTGCCCACTCTGCAGCCTTCCCAGTCAACCCACTACGATATGCATCCATAAAACGCCATGCACGATTAATAAACTTGCGAATAGTGCTGAGGGGGCATGAGTTCAAACACTCAAGCACTGCTGTCTTGGCAGCTGCAAAGGAAGGTTTCCAAATGTCACGATATCGGTACTTGCAATACCCCCAGTACTGTGAAACCATTAGACACATGCCAAGGAATATTTGAAAACAAAACATACCATTTCAATCGGATTGAGCTCGCAGTGAAACTTTGGCAAGAACATGCAAAGATGTCCGGCTTTCTCAATTAGTTCCTCGAGCATAGATTTCTGATTAATGAAATCAGATTGCCGACTAAGAATGCATGCAAGGCAGCAGTCTGTGTTCTCAAATGAACAGACTGGCTTGCATTTTGCATTTATCCCTTTTGTATCAAAGCCACGCTCTGTCAACACCGACTCTAGACCTTTTGCTTTGCCATCGGGGGTTTTCATTGCTTGCTTCTTTCCGCGTTGGGAGATGTCTGGGACACTCTCATCATTTGGGATCACTGTATCATGTCGAATTCTCTGTTTTCCACCATCAGATTGATTCATGTCGAAAGCATTCAGGGCATCGGGGCCAAGTGACACGTGGGCTGAGGACTGGTCAAAAATGAATAGAGCCTGACATCCTGGATAAGCACGCTCAAAAATTGGAATGGCCTTGGTCCGCATTTGATCCAACAGTTGATTAGTGTCCCACCAAGAATCACCACCAGTCCCAGGATAGATTATTTTTCGAGCATCGTTGTCTTCTGATATTGTCCCATCTGAGTTGGCAACCACGAGCCGGCCACTCTCCTCATTAATGAAGTCAGAGACATGAATGAGCCAGCCATGGCTCTTCTTTTGAAGGATTGTCTCCCCTGGTTTGAGCCTAGATTAGAGAAATGCAATGTGAATTGTTAATGAATTGATTGAGTGCCGCAAAATAATTGGTATTTCATACCACACGCT